TTGGGCATTATAACTCTTTCTTTTCATTTTTGCTTCTGCATTTTCATATGTATTTTTGTTTATTTGTTTCTTCTCTGCTTTCTTTTCCAGATACCTAATATCTTTAACTTATAGTCCTGAGGATTTATATTTTCATGAAGGATTACTTATGCATGTTCAAAGTTATTAGCAGCATAAACTCTAATAGGAAAGAAGCCCCGACAAATATTATCTTCCTCTCTTTACCTCTTTTATTCACTTTTCATCATCTCCTATTGCCTTTCTGTTTGAACTTGATAGTTTGAATGAAAGAATACTTGATTGAATATTGCATTTACTTTGCAAAATTAAAGTTCCTTATTTTAGTTTTAATGTTATTCAGAATAATGCCATGGTTCATTTTTATGTATAAGAAAAACTAGGCAAAGTTTTGAATGATTAAGTATTTTCTTCTATTTAATGATCTTTAAATAGAATGTAAAAAAGCACATTTAAAAAATGTATAACTATCAATACAAAATGTGCAATAGATTATCATTTTATTTGAGAGGACAAAGACCTAAAGGCATTGGTCTCCAAGACACCATGAACATCTTTAGTTAAGCATAGTTATTTCTGACAATTCATTAGAAACCTAATATATTCTCTTCATCTTACTCTTTTGCACCAAAAATAGGCAGATACTATGATATTTATTATTGATTCAGGACCACTATTTAACTTCCTAGACAAGATCTATGACTTCTCATTCCATCTATGAGTTATGTATCTAAAATAACCTGTCCGAGCTTACTGCTTTCATTACGCCATCTGCTGTTCTCTTATCACTGTCACTATAAAATGTCAAATGTTATAGAAATACATGTATATTTGTGCTTGCAGCAGCACAATTACAATGGCCCAGTTATGGAACCAGCCTAGATATTCATGAATATATGAATAGATGAAGAAAATATGGCATATGTACACAATGGAGTTCTATTTATTATAAAGAAAAACAAAAATATGTCATTTATATGAAAATAGATAGAATTAGAGAGCATAATGTTGAGTGAAATAACTCAGACCCAAAGTCAACAGTCTAATGTTATCTCTCACATATGGATACATGAAAGAAAAATGAAAGAAAAAAATCTTACAACACAATAAGGAAAAAACAGTAGAGTGGAGGAAGATCAGAGGTATAATAAGTACAGGGAAAGGGGAGGTCTAGGAAATGAAACTGACCACAATATGTAATGTACATGTAGAAATACACCATAATGAAACCCACTATTTGTATATAATTAGAAACTAATTAAAAAAAGAAGAGAGAAAACATGAATGTGGGAGCTTTAACTGGCACATGCTTTGATTATTTAATATCAAACATGTTCTTGTTACTTTCCTTGTATGCTTCTAGGTGGCATTCCAGTAATTCCCACTGGTAGTACTCTACAGGAGGAAAGTTGTTATAAAACCCAGAGCACATTCTGTATTGCATCATAAACTAGAACTGCATATTTCAGAATCTGTAATGTACAAACTTTAGAACATATATTTAAGGAAAACATTTAGAATGTCCCATTGACTTCCCCTTCAGCACATAGAAAATGACAGCTATATGAGAGTAGCATAGGGTACCTACAAGGTAAAACTTGTCATCATTTGTATTTGAAATAGAAAGAAGAAATGCAGAAATTCATGCATTTACCAGGGACGTCTGCTGCCTTCAATTTCATGAGAACAGAATAATGCTGCAGAAATAGAAGAAAGGTGAGCACTTTCTATCCTGACCCTGAAATGAAGCCCCTTTCACATATGATTCCTACCATTATTTGAAAGAGACTAAAATAAGGGGAAATGCCAAGAACTTTGGGAGATTAACCATTTGGATATTAATTTGGGTGTAATACAAATGATTGATTCCAAACTTCCCACCCCCAGAAACAAAGGTAAAGTGGAAAAAGGAATAAGAAATCCCAATCAGTCAGAAAGTGTAGGCAGAGTCTCAAGACAAACTTCATTGACTTCACAAGCATGCAACAGGTATGCATATCCAGCTGACATGCTCTGCCTGTGCATATTCAATGCCAGAGGATTTTGTGTCAGGTAAAATGACAAGGAAGGCTAGAGGTGGTGAAAGCCTTTGGGCTCCTCTTTAGCCTACACTAAGAGCACTTCTTTGTCCTCCCTGCCTGAATACTTCACTTGAATCTGAGACATACTCTTGTGGAGGAACTCACTTTTTGCAGAGGAATATTCATCTCAGACACAGCTGTCCTCAGTCTCTGTAATGAGCACAATTTGAGACTGTCTGGAACAGAGTACATAAAGGAGACTAGAAGAGGGGAGGAAGTGAACCAAAGACTTGGGGTGATATGGAATTCCATCTGTTGGGTGACAGGGAATAGACACAGTAGAAAATGAAAAAGGAAGAGTGAGAGAAACTGTGGCTATCAGGTGCTACCTGTGTCTTGGCATCCTGAACCTGAAGAAGCACTGGTTCCCAACCCAGGGGAGCAGTGGATGCACCAGATGTAAGTATAGGAGGGGAGCTCCCAGGCTTACTGTTCTGGGAGCAGATTCTGCAGACAGCGTGAGGTGTGGATATGAAAGTCAACTGGGTTGAGTGAGTTCAGAGAAAGGAGCTCCCCAGTTACTTCTAAGGACATAAAAGACGTTTTGTTGTATTTCAGATCTCTTAGACTCACTATTTTTGTGCTAATGCATGTGGGACTATGTGTTTTTGTGTTCACATATGTGCTCCTGTATTTTCACTACTTCTTCTATAACATTTAATGATAGTTACAAATGTTATTAATCACATACAACAAATGTTTGGATATTTCCTCACAGGTGTGCTGTAAAATGCAATGCATTGCCTAAGTTTCATGAGTTCTCTAGGGACTTTTAAGGCTGATGGTTCTTTATTCCTTACCTTTCTTTTTTCTGTCCATAACTCCTCTATATAGTGTGTCATTGATAATTTATGTCACGTTTCCATTAGTATTCCTCCCCCACATTCACTTATACTTTTGCAAAATATTGATATAATCAGCACATCACAAAACTCAAAAATTAAAATGCATAATTTAATCATGTTGAGTGTATTCACAAAACCGTTCAAGAATCAGCATGATATAATTCTAGAACCTTTTTTTCAGGAACATTGTGTTAATTTTCGCCTTATCTCAAGTCCTAGGAAATCACTGTTACACTCTCAGCCTGTAAGAGTTTCTTTGGACATTTTACATAGCTATTTTTTTTGTTGCCTCCTTTCCCATGTATAATGTTTTTGAGGTTCTTTCCTATTGTAACATGTACCAATATTTCACTTTTTTTGCCAAATTGCATTCCTCTGTATCCACAGCACTCTTGAAAAATATTACATATACATGAAAATAAATCTTAATATCTGAATATTTCACATGACAGTAATTTTTCCTAATCAGTGGTCATTTGTCTTTTATATAAACCAACAGTGAACTATGTAGTCTCACAATATTAATTTTTTAATTGTAAAATGTTTTTACAATAAACTAACACAAATGTATGATTTTTTTAATAAAAACATCAATAGTAACAGAGAAATTCCGCAGAGTTTAACACTCCAACAGGTTATTCTGTTACTTTCCCCATCCCAGAATGAACACATTCTACTTGGAGACTAGTACACAGACTAAATATTAATTCTCAATTTCTCCAAAATGAGTAGAACTCTTATTTAGACAAAGTTTTAGACATAAAAGAAGGTTTTGGATGGGGTAGGGGTTATTAGGGATTGAACTCAGGGGCCCTCTATCACTAAGCCACATCCTCAGCTCTATTTTGAATATTATTTGGAGACAGGGTCTCAATGAGTTGCTTAGTGCCTAACCAAAGGCAGTTGCTGAGGCTGGCTGTGAACTTGCATTTCTCTTGCCTCAGCCTCCTGAGATTTTGGGATTACAGGCAAACTACATCATACCCAGCAAAAAGGGAAATTATCAAGGCAAGCAATGTCATGATTTGTCATTTAATGCCTTCATAAAATAGTGCCAATAAATGAACCACTAATACTTTCCTAATCAAATACATATCCACTTTACCACTGGCTAATTAGACCAAAGAAGTAAATACATAGCAAATTAAAAATCAACTGCAATTAATTTTAATTATCTCTTAAATTTGTATATTATATGTTGTGTATGGCAAATTTAAGCTGAATTCTAATCATATTAGTTGGGACAGTCAAAATCTTTTGGTAACATGAAAAAATATCTGTGAGAAGTATATCATTTGGCAAACCTTATAACATTTGGAGAAGCAGATTTTAGGTATATGGTAAACAAATAAAGCTTGCTACTACTTAGAATTCAAAAACAGAATAGAGTGCATATATAAGATTGGCACCTAATCATGGATATAACCATGTAATTTGTCCCAATCAAGATAATACCTCTAAGTCATGTCAAATGTACAGATCTTGTTTGAGAGCCTGATGACCAGTTTAGATTGAGAATTCACAAAGCTATCCATGCAGAGCATGACATCAGAAATATCATTGCAATTCAGAAAACAAACAGAAAGGTAACAAGAAGGAATTCAGGCTTCTGTGTGTCAATAAGGAGAAGGGACCCAGACTTGGCCCATATTCTGACAATTAGAAATAATGAATTACTATTAACAACAATGATAAGTCATCAATAACCCCCAAACAGACAATCTTGCTAAAGATTATGTTGTGTGTTAGTGAGGATATTCCCAAAACACTGTGAGCAAAATAGCCTTAAGTCCTACAGAAGCACAGTTATATAGAAACTCAAGGTTAAATAGGAATGCAAGTGCAGTTAGAAGCCCCGAGTCTTGGTGAGGAATGAGTAGAATGAAAGAAGGGTAAACTCAGGGTTCATGGGAATTATGGGGCATAAGTTGCTTTCAGCTATGCTAATTTGGGATGTAGCAAATATTCTTTTTACTAGGAGAAGATCTATTGAACAGAAAAAGGTTGGTCATAACAGGTAACAATTTGCTTTTGTGATTCTCCAGATTAGGAAGTAATGGACACAGAAAACAGCACAGTGGTGACAGAATTCATCCTTCTTGGTTTGACCCAATCTCAAGATACTCAAATCCTGCTCTTTGTGCTAGTCTCAATGTTCTACCTCATAATCCTCCCTGGCAATGTTCTTATCATTCTTACTATAAGATCAGATCCTGGACTTAATGCTCCCCTCTATTTCTTCTTGGGAAACTTGGCCTTCCTGGATGTCTCCTACTCCTTCATTGTGTCTCCCAGGATGCTGGTGGACTTCTTCTCTGAGAAGAAAGTAATTTCTTACAATTACTGCATCACCCAGCTGTTTTTCTTGCACTTCCTTGGTGTAGGGGAGATGTTCCTTCTTGTTATCATGGCCTTTGACCGCTATATTGCCATATGTCGGCCTCTACACTATGCAACAGTCATGAGCCCCAGGGTCTGCTATGCATTGCTGTTGGCTCTGTGGCTTGGGGCCTTTGCCCACTCCATTGTGCAAGTGGCCCTTATTCTGCACTTGCCCTTCTGTGGCCCAAACCAGCTGGACAACTTCTTCTGTGATGTGCCACAGGTCATCAAGCTGGCCTGCACTGACACCTTTGTGGTGGAGCTCCTGATGGTCTCAAACAATGGCCTGCTCACCCTGCTGTGCTTCCTGGGCCTTCTGGCCTCCTATGCTGTCATCCTCTGCAGAGTAAAGGGACACTCCTCAGAAGGGAAGAGCAAGGCTATCTCGACTTGCACGACCCACATTATCATTGTGTTCCTCATGTTCGGACCTGCCATTTTTATCTACACCCGCCCCTTCCAGGTTTTCCCAGTTGACAAAGTGGTTGCTCTCTTTCATACAGTCATCTTTCCTTTGCTGAACCCTGTAATTTATACACTTCGCAACCAGGAAGTTAAAACTTCCATGATAAAGCTGTTAAGACAGCATAGGGTGTTCTAAATGGAGTAGAAAAATGAGTAAATCAACAAAGTAGAAAGTCCAATCCAAATAATATAAATTATTACTTCATGTACTGAATAAGTGAGTCATTTAGTAAACAAACTATTATGAATCACTTCCAATTTTCAGGCTCTGTTTAAAGTATATGAATGAGATAAACAACTTTCCAGGTGTCTTAGGTTACATTCACGTGAATAAATGCAGGTGTACTACGGTTTGATTGGGGAGGTACTAAATACCTTAATTTTCGTAGTCAAGTAAGATATTCTGACACAAACCTGGTGGTCTTTTGAGGTTCAGCTGATACAAGATGATCTGAAAGAAGTAACCACACAATTACCTGAGATATTCTAGGCAGAAAGGATGACTAATACAAGGATCCACAATTTTATAAGTTTGGTACATTTGAAGACCACAAAGAAGAACAATGTCGCTTAGTGGAGTTGAAGAATCTGAAAGTATAAAGAATTGAAAGAGGAGAGGTTGCAGGTAAAACTCTCCTGAAGTATTTTAAGCAATGAAAAGAAGTTCATGCCATTTAAACTTTAAATGAGGCCATAAATGGAATTAAACTGGAGAATAAGTATTAATGTTTTCTACTTGCCTTAAGGCAAGAGCCTCAAGATTCTGGAGGAATTCTATGGGAAATAAAATATTATTAAGTAGAAAAAATTCATGCTGTTAAGTAATTTTAATGGTACCTTAATTAGTTATTTTTTCCTAAATTTGGAGAATGTTGTGATCTCCTTTACTGTTGTTGTTAATCTTGGAGAGAAACTTGAGTTCCCTTCAAATGATTTCATCCTGAATGCAATTATGTTGGTTATTTGGTGTATTAATCTTTATTTAGTTATAGATGATTAACCACTCCAATTTATTTGTCTATTTATTTGTTTGTTTGGATGGGGGTAATACCAGGTATCTTGTATTTTTAAAATAGTTGAATGGGCTGTAAAACAGGCTGTGAATTTGGAATGCAGTAGTATATATTAAAATGTTAACAGCAAATCCAGTCCTCATAGCAATTATTGATATGGGGAATAGAAATTTATTTTTCTATTGCAGTCTACAAGATCACAGAACTGAAACTGTGTGCAATACTCAGGCAAATAGCTTAGAGCTTCTCTAGCACTAGTAGATATTGCCATATAAAATGGAAACCTTATATTCTTTAGTCCCTAGGCCACTTCCCTGATTTCTGAATTTAAGACTTACCTAAGTCAATCAGAATTTGTAAGAAGACTTTAGGGTTTCATTTTAATTCTCCATGCCCTGAAGAGGACAAATATAGAAATAAGAAGGCTGGAAATCAGCTTAAACCCACAGTCTTCTTTAGATAAAGGAGGGCTTTCTAAACCATGACACTACTGATATTTATAGCCCAACAATTCTTTGTTGTGAAGTGCTTCCCTGTATGTTGTAGATTGCTGTGAAGCATCCCTGACCTCTTCTTGATGCCAATACCCGCTCCTCACTTTTAATAATGACAACTATCTCCATGTATTGCCTATGTCCCTTGGAGGTAATGTTTGCCCACACTTAACTCCATGGGTGAAGGAGAATAGTGTGCTGTGTGTAGATCTTATAGTAATATGGCCAATCTTATTTTGCAGTGAGTATATGATCTGGAGCCTAGGCAACTTATTATTTTTAATAAACTATAGTCATAATATAATAAAAATCATTGGAACATATGAGTATGCTATCTAAATATAAGAAAAAAATCACTTGCCTGTACACTGAGACTATCCAGAGTAGAAACATAAATAATAATATTAAAATAACAATGATAACTATGTTCAAGATAGCAGAAGATAATGTATAATAAGTAGACAAAAAATTTAAACAGAAATTAGAATTCACAAAAAAATCAAATAAAATTCTATTAATTAAAAATTGTGAAAATAAGAATTCATCATGAGTTTAAAATTGGAGTAAACACAGGAAAATACTAAAGAGTTAGCAAGAAATAAAGTGAATAAAAAATTTCAAATGAAATGCAAATTGGATAAAAAGGAAAATAAGGAAAGTGTATTAGAATTATGTAAGATATATGGAAATGTCCTACCTATGTGTAGTGGACATCCAAGTAGTGTGGGAAAAAGAGAAACTGGGATGCAATATTTGCAGAGAACTTTTACAAAATGATAAAAGGCATCAGCATGGACCACATGTACCACAAGTCTTTGGTTCATAAGCAGAATAAAGATTTGAGAAAGAAGACCCAAACACATGAATGTAAAGCAGATAAAAGTCAATGATACAAAGACTCTTAGAAGCCACTGAGAGAAGGAAGCACATATTGATTTGAAAGGATAAACAATAAGGACAGCTTTTTCTCATAAAACAAACTTAGAAATCAGAGTACAATGATACCTTGAAATTGCTGAAAGATGACAATGCAAGTCAAATAATTTTTATGAGATAAAAAAAAAAAAAAACATTTAAATGAAGAAGATAGAAAGAGATTTTCAGACAGAATTAGAAAATCTGTTGCCTGAGAATTTGTATTAAATCAGTATTAGGAGTAGTTCTTCAGTTAAGAGACCCTAATCCTGGAAGGAAACAATAAATTGAAGGAAAGAATGAAGAATAAGTTAATTGTCAAGTTGATACATGTAAATAATTATAGACTGACTATTGACTGTACAAACAGTAGTATATTTTAAGGGGTTTATTATACATATTGTTTGTATGTACACCTGACAAGAGTAATGAACAATGAAAGAAACCATAAACAAGGAATTTAAGTGTTCTATAATTCTAATATATTAAAATATTTGGTCAAACTAATACTTTGATATTAATCTTTATGAAATCCTGTAAAATACTAATAAGAGGGCTTCTAACTATAAAATTCAGGACAAGTTTTGAAAAATGATTATTTTTCATGAAAACAGCTAGAAAGAGGAAAGAAAGAGTGTATGAAATAAGAAAAAAAAACATAGAAAAGTAAATATACTACAAAAAATAAACATTAAAAGCTTCATTTAAAATCTGGAATTGCTAAACTTTAAGCATGAATGTTTTCACATACTAAATACATAGGTAGAAAAAAGTTGAAATAAAAGGAAAGTTTGAAATAAAATAAATACAGTTGTTGTTTGTTGTTCATGGGTTCCATATTTGTTTATTTGCCTACTCAGGAAATTTATCTGAAACCCCAAGTCAACATCTGTTATGCTTTTAGAGTGATTTGAGGACATGCAGAGAACAGCAGAAACAAAAACAAAAATACTTGAATCACCGTGTGTGCACTCCCAGCTAAGGTGGCACAAACTGACACTGAGTTTTCTTTCAGCTCTCTTCCTGTAACAGGTGTCCCTTTCACAGTCTATTCACAGCATTGTTTTCCATGTATTTACAGTTATTGTTGGTGATTCTGCTGTTTGAAGGGCCCTGAAAGAAAGAACAAGGCTCATCGTCGTAGAAAATGCCCATTTATTGAGGAACAGCTCTTCATATTTAAAGAGCTGGGGTGGTTTGACAAATATGACAGTTTAACTAACGGTTGAAGGGTTTGACAGTTGGCATGGGGTGCTTTTGAATTGGTGGGTAAGGATTATGTGAGTCAGCAGGGCTAGTCTGATCAGTGGGTAAGGATCATGTGAGCCAGCAGGGCTCACCATTGGACAGCTCTTCTCAGGGGATGGGGAAGTTAGTCTTTGGAGCCGGGGCAACTCCCAACATTCCCCCCTCTTTGTTATTAAATGAGAGTGGGCATCGACTTATTCTGGCTGCTTCCTGCTGAGATGGGGCAGTGTGGGAGAATCAGAGAGGAGGGAAGTAAGGAGCCCCCACAGTAGGGCAGAGAGGACTGGTATAACTTCAGGAACCAGATCAATGAAGGTTCCTTGCCACCATTGATCCATGATGATGTCAGTCCATTTGGCATAGGTCTCGACTGGAGGTATCATCAGCAGCCAGGAGTTGGTAATTCCTGAGGAGAAGCTGGTTAAAAGCTTGATTAGAAATTTTTTACCTGAGTCTGGATGAACTTTATGATAAAGGGAAGGAAGAGGCATAGGGAGTTTTTATAGCCCAAATCTAAGGGGGTCTGTGGGTCTGCAAGCTGCCTTGTTGGCACGGGGGGGGGGGGGTTAAATGTTCAACCTTGAGTGGAGGGGTTGAGTGTTCAGCCTTGAGCGGGGGCTTGGGCATTTGGGCTTGAAACAAACAGGTGATAAAGAACCAGGCAGAGGGTTTGAGAAGCCAGGTCATCCTGCAGCTAACTTTGTTTGGCATGCCCTGCAGACCAGCCTGTCCTGCACCTAACACCCTCAATTCCAATCTTCATTCCTAGTCCAATCTAGCTCCCTCCCCTCTCTATTAAGGCTGCTCTTCAAACTCTCTCCTACCTGGGTGTCTCTGAAACCAGCTTGCCTCTATCTTCCCAGGTTTCCAAACCAACTGTTCCTAGCTTTCCCCAGTCACACCAAAAAGCACGGGCTTTGTAATAAAGAAGTCAGCTTCTCCCAAGCTCTGAAGAAGGTGGCCAAGGGAGGATGGTGGTCCATTGTTCAGATCTCTCCAGGTTTTATGTGAAACACCTCAACCTTAAATACTTGAAATTCTTACGAAACTGAGAGGGTAAACAAAACACACATGTTCCTCCTTATGCCCAGAAGGCAACTGGTAAAGTGCTCTCTTATGATAAAGGTAGTTCACACTTATTCAGGGGTCACCATGCTCCGGACACCTAAGTGGTTTGTCAGAAGGACAACACACAACGGTTCCACTCCTGGCCAGATCCAAGCAAGTAGGGGGTCTGTAAGGAGGAGAAGGGGGTCTGGCTGGAGGGGGCCCTTAGGGTCACTTGCTTTGAATCTCCAGACATAGGGCGAAGAGAGGACCCAAGAGGGGCCAGAAATGAGGGGGAGCATTAGATATTGGGCTAAGAACAGAGACAGAGACACGGGAGAGGCGGAGCTTGAGGGGATTTTGTGGGGAGGGATGACAAGAGTACTTAATGACAGGTGACAATCATTGGCTCTTCTGAT